ACCAGTTTCATAAAGGAACCCCCGGATCTAGGTAACAGAGAATAAATACGCTGAGCCCCATGATGGAGCCTCCGGTACGGGTAACAGAGTGCAAACATATTAAGTTCCATGATGGAACCTTCGATACCGGGTAACAGCCAACAGATATCATATGATGCTAAGGATGTCACGAGTATATATCAGAAATTGGACAATCATTCATTGTACAAAATATATCATTTCAGAAAACAGATCTTAATTCATCACACAGAAAATAAATAGAGTTGAACATAGCTTTACAACGTTATTACTCACAGTTGGCTTTGAGACAGATAGACGGAGCATATTGGTCAAATGGTACGCGACACATGACCTACATAACACGCAACAGACACACACTTGAAACACACGTTCTAATTATACACAACTTACTTCGTTGGTTCTTAGTGTGTTTCTAACCTTTAATCCTCATTATGAAATCTTAAATATGGCCTAAGAATGCCTAGGATGGAATGAGGATGCAAGAATGCATTGGAAAACATTTCTTAAAACTTGCTGAAAATAAGGTCCACGCTCGAACGTGGCTTTCCCCGCTCGAGCAGACATGTAGACAATGAAGCTCTGCTCGAGCGTGACTTTTCCCACTCGAGCGGACTGTAAACTCTTGAAAAAGCGCTGGATGCATGATTTTCATGCTCAACGGACGCTCGACCTCCGCTCGAGTGTGAGACTCAGACCATCACTCGAGCGTAGATTCCCTCGCTCGAGCGGACTGCAAAACACAAGAACTTCTGGGTATATGCATTTCACGCTCAAGCGTAAACTTCAACGCTCGAGCAGAGGTGCATGTATTCAGTGTGCACGCTCGAGCGTAAAGTTCTCCGCTCGAGCGTGGATCAAATTTCTAGAAATCTCATATTTGATCACCAAGCTCAAATTCAAACCCAAATGCACACCAAAACTTTGGAAAATACTTAGAGACTCATAAAACAACATGCTTAAAGAATCACAAGAAGAAATCATGGCCCAAAAGTATGCCAAATTGTGCAACATTCCAACACAAACTTTATGAATATGTCATTAACACAACATGCAAGAACTTCCTTGAATTCAAACACTCCAAAACATAATCAAACTTGGTAATTTGATGGAAAACAAGATGAATGACCAAAATGTAAGTGGGGTTAACACATGCATGGAAGAAACCTTTGAAATCATGCTCAGTTTGTGAGAAAATGTCCATGCATGCATGGTATGGTCCATTTCTCCCCAACTCTAGTGCAATTCCTACTTAATTCACCAATAATCTTGTAGAATCTAAGTTAATTACTCAATTAAGAGTCTAGTCCCTTACCTAGAGGCTTCAATCTACAAAATTAAGGTTGAGGCTCCACAAATCTTCTTCAATTATCAACAATTCTTAGCATCTCCTTGAATTTTAGCTTAATCTCCAAATCTTGAACCAATTCCTCTACTCTTACCCTCTCTCACGTTTTTGGATCTTAGAGGACTCAAAGATGCATGTAGATGGAAGAAAAGAGTGTGTGGGAGTGTAATGAGGCCACTAAGACTTTAAACCAAAAGTGTGCTTAATAGGGTTAATTAGTGGGCATTAATTTAATCTAATTTAGTCGCTCCAAATCGAATTTCAATTAAACTTACCATAAAATTCTATAAATCCTAATTGGCACATAAATCAAGTCAATTTCTGATTCGGAAGCCGATAAGGCTTTCAATTCGCAAACCGAAACTAAAATGTGAACATATCTTCCTACGCCTAACAGATATAAACACAACAATGCAACACACACATGCGTTTTAAATTCAGAATTTCTCCTTAATTACTAATTAGGCATACTTAATCATGGATTAACGTTAATCAGAGGTCGGGGTTGTTACATCCATAGTGCTGGGTGCCTGGATCTTGTCATCAACATACCCCATCTTCCCTTTACTCTTCAAAAAAATAGTCAAACTCCGCGACTACGCTAAATAGTTCTAACCATTTAATAGAGATGTGGTAATTTTAAGATTAGGGTTGAGGTTATCAGTCATAGTAGTAAGTATAATGGAACTCTCACTCTTAGATGTGTGAGAAGTAGTGGAGCCACTAGTTAATTAACCATGGATACTATACTACCTAACCCTCAACAAAAAACTAGTGTCAATCACAAATTCGGAAGATGGTGGAGGAATATTAAGCACGATGACCACTAAGACTATGAAATAATTAAACACTCATAAAAAATAAAAAAAAAAATCGGTTGTGTTTGGTTGTATTTTCAAATTAACTTTTAACAGGTGAATTCTCACTTGACGTTTGGATAGGACACTCAAAATATGATTCCGCGTGTTAATTCAAATTATGGTTTGAAAATTCGTTTGGCATCTCGTAGTTCATTTCTCCGCTTTCAATGTGTCTATCTTTTTCCTCTTTTTCTTTGAAAAGCTTCCCCTTCCTTCTCCATCGTCTCTGAAAATTTCCCGTGACCCTCGTCTTTCTTTCTCTTTTGATCTGAAAAGCATCCATGTCTTTCTCCATCGTATCTGAAAATTTCGCGTGAACCTCATATTTCTTCTCTGTATCAAACATCAGACATGGAAGCTTCGACTATCTGATAGGAAACTGAGTGGGAGGTGTGAGATGGGATGGCCGGCCGGTCGACCTCCCGGTTGTCCCGGTCCGACTTCCTGCTCTTCGACTATCTGAAGCTAAGGTTCAGAAGGTTCAGGTTGTTTTTATTTTTTTTATAGAAAAGTTGAGGTTCAGAAGGTTCAGGTTGTTTTTTATTTTTTATTTTTACTTTTTACTTTTTATTTCTTATCTATTATTTTTTTATAATATTAATAATTTTTTAATAATATTACATCCGTATACTGAATTACTAAATTAATACCGTGTAATAAATGAGAAAAAAAATTGATAATGTTTTGTAAGGTTTACGTTATGATTTGTATTTTAAAATATTACACTTAGTGTATTTATGTTAATTTTTATTAATATGTATTCTCAAAAGTTGTTGACTTTAACAAAATTTTAAAAAAATATATAAAATGTATTGTATAAGATGTTTGTACAGGCGTAAAAAATGAATTGATAGAAAATTTAATTGACACAAAATAATTGACATAGATTTATTTTAAAATAAAAAAATAATTTGAAAAAAAGATTATTCAAAAAAAAATTACTGAAAAAAAATTAATTAAAAAAAAATAATTTTTAATTTTAATATTTTAAATATAGTTTGGTTATTACTGTTGATAAAAAATACGAATATCGATATATGAGTTGTGTGTTTGATTATAAATTATTGATTGAATTAAGTTTTGAAAACTATTTTCAAAATACATCACCAAACAAATTTTCTTATTTCACATGTCACATCAAATTTTCAAAACTTAATTCAAAATACATCTTCAAAACACATTTCAACACTCTATTTAAAAACCATAACCAAACAAATTTTCTACACTCAAATCATAATTCCACAACACACAAACTCAAAATACAACTCATACTCTCAAATCACATTTACAAAACTCTACCAAACGCTACCTTCCTTTTTTTTTTGATTTTTTTTTTTAAAAGAAAAGAAAAAATAACAAAGGTCAAACACTCATCTCAGTCACGACAGAAGCAGTCAAAGCAGAAGGTTAGAATCCCGAAGATGACACAATAGAAGGATATGAAGGAAGCCAGAATGGCTCGGGGCTGTCGGCAAGCCAAGACGACCCAGCCACAGTGGTTGACAAGGCAAGTCAACCCAACCACAGTGGTCGGCGAGGCAATAAGTCCTGTCAGCAAGGCCTACACAAGTCTGGGCACTTGCGAAAGTGATTAAAGGAGTCGACTCGGGCCAGAAGACCAATTGGTAGGAACCACAGGGTCGACTTAGACACCTGCGATGACTTAGGGCTGCCTCGGCAGGTGCAATCAAACCTGGTTTAGGCTGGAAGTTTTGTGGTGGCTGTGTGGTGTGTGGATTTAAGGTTTAGGGTTGTGGCTCTGATACCATGTTATTTTTAGAGAATACCCAGATTAGGGAATGATTAGGATATCTTCCCCTGTTTATATTAATGAAAATCAATAATTACAAGGGAGCCCTAAGGCATAGAATAATTATAAAATAATAACCCAAATAATAATATATTATTCTAACAATAAGGATGCTTCTGAGAAACGTTTGGAGTAAGTAATTCACTCTCACTCTCTGTACTTTCGACCTTTTCTCTAAATTGTTATTTTGACCACATCCTCGTCTAATCTGATCGTCGAAGGGTCCGTAGAAAGGAATCACCCTTATTTTGGAACCTTCCTACTGGACTTGTTACAAGTGTGATCAAGAAGACGAAGGACAATCGACCCATGGAGTGATTAGATCAGTCCCACCCATCTCCTGCCGACCAAACTACATTATCGTAAACAATTCTACATTACCCTTTAATCTAGCTTATATGGAATTATTCTACGTGAAAAGAATAAGTAATATGCTTGTAAATCTTTAGTTGGTTAATTACTAATTGTCCTCCCCAAGATTAGAAATCATAATCAAAATTCTAAATCCCAGGATATCCAATCCCACCTAATCAATTCACGAATCAAACTTAGGCTACAACGATACATCACGCATTCGAAACTCCTCTCTTAAAAATCTCGATCCTTGTTTGGAATAATCAAATTGTTTTCCTAATGCAAAAAATGTGACAAAGCATGTAAATAAAGCAAAAAGGAAAAAAGAAAAAGAAAAGGATTCATCATTTGTGAAATTTCTCTTCAACATATTCCATTAAACAAATGGGGTCAAATTATAAAGGCAAGAATGTCTTGAAACTTTAATTTAAAGTCTAAAACACTTTAACTACTATGGAGAGATCATGCTTGGGCAGCTGAAAATGTGCAAAGGTTACCATTCCATTCCATTATCATTTTGGAAGTACTTTTCATACTTTCAAAAAGCAAAGGTAAAAAACATTTTGCATACGCTTTCTTTGATGCTTTTGATCTTTCCTTCCAAAAGCAATAGAAAATACTTCCCTCATGCTAATATTTCCTTTAAGATCTGTGTACTTTGCAACATTAATTGGAAAATCAATAAATAAATAATAATTTTATTTTTTTTGCGCCCAAGTGCTTTTCAAAAATAAAAACTGATATTTTGTAAAAATCAAGTAAGTCCAAAACAATTGATGGGATTCACATAGGGAAAGCTTGAGTTCCAAGTTGAGTGAAATGAGGGCTTTGGTGAGCCACTTGAAGTGCCTCAAGATCATCATATGAATCGCGGTATGTTTCCAAGTTTGCATCTGCATTTTTTAATGCTGATAGGCACAGCTCTTTCCTCCATTCTTCCAAGTGAGGGAACCCAACATGATCTCCATACTCATCACAATACTGCAAGAAAAAAAAATATAAATTCAAATAAGATTTCAAAAATCACATAACCACTACATACCGAGAATTTTTTTTTTTATAAAATTACTCAAAATTTGAAATCAATGATTAAGATTCACTCAAGATTTGATCTCATAATACAAAATTTAAATATACACCATTAATAACTTTTTTGGTTTCCTAGACTTTTCCCAAAAATCATCTTAGGGTCAATACAAGATGCATATGCTCTTTTTAGCTTGCAAAATGTGGAAAGAAAATATATATATATATATATATTTTGCCGCATGGTAGTTGACTTAGTTACCCCAATAAATGCAAACAAATTAACATTTCTAATGCATGTGTTTTACCTGATTAATAGTTAACGAGATGGGCTTGTTTTCAGTTCACCATATATGTAAATTAGACTGATCTAGTTTAGGCCTCTGGACCGATTATAGGTCATATTTTGATGATTTGATTATTCTTTTATCTCTCAGTGTAGATCATTCACACGCGCGCGCACACACACAAAAATCAAATTAATTCAATAGTTGTAGTCACATAATTTTATCACATGTCTTTCAAAAAAATACACGGCAAGTATAATTTTAATTACAATCCTTTTAAATTTTTTTTTAAAATAAATGTGTTTAGATCAAGTAGTTGTAATTATCATAAAGCATATCTTTTATAAAAAATAAAAATAAATAAAAAAACTTTTTTTTTTTTTGGTTACCTCAAAATTAGCAAGATCATGGGTATTGTGCTTTGGAATGCCAGCAACATCCCTTGAGTAATAGAACTCCTTGATGGATTGCATCATCGCATCCCTTGATGGCAACGCTCTTTTCCCACTTAGTAATTGAGCTATCCATTTTGCTTGTGACTCAAAGAAAGGGAAGCCTATGAGCTACACACAATCAACGCAAAATGTCAAAAACAAAATTAATAATAATAATTAATTAAAAATTAAAAAGCTTTGTAACACTGAGTTTGTCAATTAATATGTGACCGTGGATAAAGAAGGATTCTCTGTGGTCCAAATCGAGACTGGATAGTGTTGTTCAAATCTTTAAAACTCACCGTAAGTTTTATTTTGATAATTTGATTCATTTATTTTGTAAGTCTTTTATGTATGTTATTTATGGGGAAAAAATCAGATTAATGCAATAATCGTAACTAGATGATTTAATTACATTTGTTTTCAAAAAATAGATGATCAGTATAATTTTGAAACAAGACCATCCATTATTTCAAAAACAAGCATAATGAAATCATATGATTAAGATTATCAAATCAATCTGATTTTTTTGCATAGATGATCTATACAAATGGATCAACAAAATGAACGAATCAAATTATCATGGTAAGGGCTATGGTGGGCTCCACAAACTCAAACAACACAATCCAGTCTAATCCACATGGCATAGGATTTTTTGTTCCCATGTTCCAAAATATTTATTATAGTTGAATTATGTCTCTAAATTTTAAATATTTCAATAGGTGTCATTGTTTTGGGACAAAAAGCAAGACAAATTTGGAGACAAAAAATAACAATATTACAAACTCAAAAAATTTACACGAAAAATTACTTAAAAAACTGAATCAATGAATTACATTCATTGTGAATATCACCCACATTCTACAAATTTTAAATTTAGAATTGAGCTTCTCTTATATTGAGATCTATGAGAGAACTTGAGAGACCTATAAGACCACTACGAGTACCGTTTCGATAATTCGAACCGTTTATTTTGTAAATGTACAATATCCATGAAAAAATTTATGTCAATTCGATAATCGTAATATTTTCATTTTATAGCATTTGTCCCTAAAAAAATAGATAGTCTATTTCAAATATATATTTGTCGTCCATTTTTTTGGAGACAAATACAATAAAATGAAAAGGTTACAATAATTGGATCAAACTAATTTTTTTGATAGATATTATACATTGAAAGCCCTACAAAATGAAGGGTTCAAATCATCAAAACGGGACTAATGATAGACCCTATAAACCTCTCAAATTATCTTATATTTAGATCTCAACATAAAAAAAAATCCGACCCTTTAATTTGTGTCATACACTCACTTTTTAAAATAACGTTCAAAATATATTTTCATGATCTATGGCATTGACAACGAAATCCTTTGCCATTATAGAAAGAAAAATGAGAGAATTTACCTTTCTAGGAATGCCTACAAAGGAGAGAGAGGGAGCAAGTAATGGAGGGAAGGTGTGCTCATAAAGAGGTCCCACTCTATCATCATCCACAGCCACTATTCCTTTGGTGTCAAGAAACGGGAATGAATATGAATACCTACACACATACACACACACACAATAGTCCCACCCGGGTGTATTACAATTATTGCCTCCATATATTATTACATTTATTTTTCTTTAAGAAGGGTGTACAGATACAAGGTCTGTACTAATGATTATGAGAACAAAGGGTCCACTATAAAGATCATCTAACTTGTTCAGTTGTCATGATCATCCAATCAAGCCACCCTTTTGGCATTGTAAACTTATGGGTGGAACCAATTGGTGGTATATAGGTCAATGTGATTCACTAGCCAAGCATTAATGGTCATTTGGTCATATAACTTGGGACTTTGATCCTTTGATCAAAAATTGTTGTGACCATGATACTAACAAATATCTCAATCAATAATACTATATATGTATTTATAAAAAAAAAAATATATTCGGCTTTCAAATTTATAAATTAGATTCATTCTGAATATAATCAACATCACACCACACTTAATTAAAGTTTGCACTATATATTTGAAGGGTCTTGTTAAAGGGCACATGTTAAGATACTTGGAGAAAAGAAAGAAAAAAAAAATCGTACATTCTTTATTGCACGTACAGTATGTACAATTTTTTTGAATATCTTGAGGTGAGTTTTAAACAATTTTCTAAACACATATCATTGTTTACCTAATATTGTCAATGAAATAGCGCTTATAAGTTATCACCATATTAGGTTTGGGTGGATATCAAATATAGAATTTGATTGGCCTAGGTCAATAATTGATTTGAGAAAGTACTTTTTTCATGACCATGCGAATTGATTTGGGAAATTCAATATGCCATGGTCACTCCAATAAACTAGCATATGAATTCGTTTTTCATTTAGGGAGCAAGAGGTCCTACCCTGTACAGTATATGATGGTGTCTGCAGTGACCCAAGAGCCATCTACAAATAATACCCTTCCATCTTCTTGTAGTGACTCTACCTGCAATTATCACATTTAATAATAGTTTGTAAATTTAAACTATAGGCTAATAATTCACCAATTTTCTTTCAAACTTTGTCAAGTTGGTTGAGGATCCAGTTTGGTATGGTTTTCAAAATGGGAGAAATTTGTTGAATGTCAGTAAAGTTCATGAGGCCCACCGTGGGTCCTACTTTAATGATCTAATATGTTCATGTTGTATGTTTTGTGTGTAAATCATACACGGAAAAAAATAAAATTAGTTGATTAACCGTAACTATATTATTCATTATATTTGTCTTAAAACAAATGGGCAGCTTCTTTTTTTTTTTTTTTTTTTTTTTACACATACCATCCTTTTTTTTTAAGGAAAATATGATAAATTATATGTTTCAACTAATAAATCAATTTAATTTTTTTCATGAATTATATGCATAGGGACCTACAAAATTAACAAATCATATCATCAAAATAGGATCTATATATAATGGACCGTGGACAGTTCAATCCACAAAGATGGACCGGAGTCTTGAGACAATCTACTCCTTTTGAAATTTTCATTTTGAGTTTGAAAACTAAAAATAAAACATAAAAAATTAAAAAACACCCTTTATTTATACCAGTTTTATTTTTTTGTGAAAACGTACAATTTTTGGAAATTAATAAAACAATTAAAAAGTATTTCCTAAAACAGTTTTACAAACAAATTTTGCATATCAATTTAATTATTATCGATAGAAAAAAAATGAAATTAATACCAAATGCGCCCTAAACTTGATAGTAGGGGTACCTGTGGACAAAGGTGCAAGTTGTCATGCTTGGAAATGACTTTAGATAAGCCTTCAGAAACATCAAGAGATTTGGAACTAAGATAAATCTCCTTTGCCACATCCACAAGCTCCATTGAAATATCTTGTCCACTTAGTGAATTTCCAACAACCACAACTACCTATTTAGATCATTGATTCATGAAAGAAACATTGTAAGATATCTCCATATTTGAAATTGTTTGCAAGCAACTTCATGAAAGAGTGACTTCTCTCTAATTGTCATTGCTGTGAATTCTTGTCATTGAAAAGTGACAATCCATACCTACCTACCTTCTTAACATGTCACTAATTTAGCAACTTTTCATGAGCCCCCACTACTACCAACTTCTCTTTATAATAAAATTACTTTTACTTTTTACATTAAAAAATGACAAAAGCATTTTTCTTAAATTAAAAAATGACAAAATCATCCTGATTAGGCTCACAAATCATCTATCCCACTTTTTGTCTCATTCTCTGCGTAATATCTATCACATATTATTATGTCACCAAAATCAATAGCTCTAAGAATATAGAATAGGTAATGATATAAAAGAGTGGGATAGATTTTTTATCTATTTAATATTTGCCACGTATTATCATGTCACCAAAATTAATGTATGTAAGAACATAAAATAGATAATGATATAAAAAAGATAGATTTCTTAGAAACATGATCTCGTGCACTTGGATTGCCCCTTTATTAAAATAACAATAATGCTAGGTATCATGAAAATAATGTCATGAAAAGTCTTCATGAAGATTCTCCACCATTAATTAGATTATAGTGTTTGTAGTGTTTTATTGTATGTTATGCATTCACCATTGGATTAGTTTCATGAAATTTTTCATGATATTTACTTCATGATACGTAGCATTACTCTTAAAATAAACGGTAGAAGCATCTTTTGAAAGCTTGTTACGAAGCTCTTATAAAGATTGACTTCAATTTCTGTTTTGAGTTTTGAGATCTTGCTTTGCCATTTTATGCCTTTTTCAGCTTATAAAAAAGCATTGATAATAAAATCAAATAAATAAATAAATAAATGATTATATTAATTACAAGGAAGTGTTTTTGAGTTACCTCATTGCGAAATGGCTCAGGAACTCTGTAAATGTGACTATGCATCTGCTTTCTCCTCCATGTATCCATTCCTTAAACAACAAACAAAACAAAAACATTAGCACACAACACATAGTGAAGATGTGAGACTAATAAAAGGAAAAAAGATGATCTAAGCTTTCCTGTATGTTTAACAACATAACATAACAATCATGTTCAATGTCAAATTTGACCCTCCTAAACTATTTCTTGATATGACATGACATGAGCGTGATCGAAGTCTTCATAAGTTCTTTTTGCATTGACATGACTTGAATTAACCTTTTTTGACCATGAGAGAGAGAGAGAGAGAGAGAGAGAGAGAGAGAGAATTCACATACCTCTAATGAGAGGCAACCTAGGATGAGAATAATGACCTATGGCAACAACCACAGCATCATAAACCTCTTCCACCACCTTCTCAGATTTTTTCTCTTTACTCTTAACGACCCATCTCAAATCATTGCCAAACACGGCATAATCCAACATGCCCGCGTACTCGACCCTAGTATTGAACCTTATCATCTCTCTCAATTCAAACCGTCCACAAAAGTCCTTTAAGTACAAAAGAAGCTCGCTGTGACCGGGAAACCTCCTCGTGTCCCTACCTTTCTTCGCCACGAATGGAAAATCGGTGAAACCCATGATCTCCCTCGGCGACGTGAGCCTTAGGGAGGCATAAACACTACTATGGACCTTTAGGGTAGTGCACTTCCCTAGGGCATTTTCACCCTCAACATTAGGTTCATAGAGCCATTGGCCTCCAACATCATGGTTTTGTTCAAAAACCACCACATTGTGACCTTCTTTCCTTAGCTCCCTAGCGGCGACTAGACCGGATGGGCCAGCACCGACCACACAAACATCCTTGGAGCATTGTTTTCTCTCAGAAACCATGGTGGTTTGATCTTTGGTGTGTGAAATGTTGAATGTGATGACATGAGTGTGTTAGGGGGGGCGTTATGGGTTTTTATAGTTAAAATGGTCCAAAAAAATAAAGGGTAGTGATTGTGGTGGACAAAATTTGTATGCTGGCATGGGGACACACATGATAAGTTAAAATCATGTGTTGGGATCAAAAAATTATTCATAATCTAAGGATATCATGTGGCCATATTCCTATTTTTTTTTTTTTTTTTTGGATCAATAAAAAAGAAACATTTATTGATGGAAACCAATACAAAGTATAAGGGTATCACATCAATAAATGTCGCCATGTTTCTAATCAATTACAAACTATTATGTCTCTTTTTAATCTCCAAACAAAATCGTGAATCCTACTCTTTTCATCAATCACAATACACTTGGACACCACGTAACCGTATTCTAGAACCACCAAATAACTTCTCAATGGGATCTCTCCTCTTTGGATTTTGAATTGTGTAGATTGTCATGTTTTAAACTATTTTTCAAAATATTCTCAAAGCCTGATAACAATTTTAAATTGCTTTAATTCTTTCAAATTCAATTGCTTCAAATAACTATTATAATTTTCAGATTCAAATAGAATACATATGAAATGGGAAAAAATTGCAATTACAAGAATTCAGAAGTAAATAGAAAAATTTCACAAACAAAATATTTATATAAAAAAATGTAGAAAATGATGTCTCAGTTTTACAAGAATAATGACATACATATAGAAATTTTATACATAATTTTATTTATTGTGGTCCTTTCGTTTCTAACGAGAACGCTCACCATTGTTCTCATAAATGTATCTGTTTCATTATTCTTATCATGAATTTTGTATAAAAAAAAATTATATAAGAATATCATTTTTCCTCTTTTACAATTATAAAAAATGCTACACAAATAGAATTTTCGTATAAAAATTTTATATAGAATAATGTGACTTTATAAGGTCTTTTCCTTTTAAGGAAAAACAGCCATTTTAATCAAAAAATATTACAAAAGTATCTTTGTCACACCATTTTAAATTTTATTTATATAAATTCTATTTATAAATCATTTTTTAAAAATTATTAGCCACAATGGTAAGTACGTCATTCTCTATAAGAAAAAATTGTTAGTATAATATTACGAAAATATTCCCATTAAAAAAAATTATGAGAACATCAAATAATATACAACAATATTAGAAAGGGAGAAAAAAAAAAAAATCTGATTGAGATTCATTTCAATAATGAGTTTTTACCATACAGCAGTTGAATTTTGACAGCACGTCACTTTTATAAATAAATTTATAAACAGTTTTTTTTTTACTTATTTGATTTTTCTGAAATATAAATATTCACTACCCATATGAGAGTGGGCCAACCAGTGAGCTGTCTCTGTGGTCTTCAGGGCTTGACGTGCATGAGGTAGGACCTTAAATATTATGAATGTCTGATCGATCAAGAAGCTTGGCTGATTAAGATCTGAATTTTTTCCTAAAACAAAAAAACAAAAAAAAAACAAAAACAAAAAAGAGATAAAGTAGGATATGAATCAGTACCATCCTAATAATTTAATGTTATGACCATTTGTTAATCGGTAATATTTTTGTTTTGCTGCTTTTATTTTTTTTATTGTCATTTAAAAAAACTAAAAATTGTAAATGAAAATACATTTTTCTAATTTTAATTTTTGCCAAAAAAATGTAAAGATTTTTCAAAATTTTAGAGAAAAAAAGTAGGCAAAACCACAAAAAATATGGTTTTACCTAATACCAAGAAAATCAAGAAAGTCATATAAGGAGTAGAACTCAAGGTAGGCAACTTAGGTCCTCGAGTTCTAAATAGAGGAGGGTTCCACTTACTATATATGCACTATAAAGAAGCACATACATTAAAAAATAATTAAAAAAATAAAAATTAAATGTCAAGAATTTCATCTTAGCTTGGTAATGGTCTTTCTTCAGTTGGCTATTAAAATTATAACATGGATACCTATTTCATTTTTTATTATATTGTAATTTTGGTTTGACAAAATTATGATCTTGCATGATTTGATTAATTGATTAACAAAATTTGTTTTGCTTGTGACGGTTAAGAATATTAGATGATTTGGGGTAAAACAAATAAATAAAAACTATAACAAATAAATTTGTTTTGACTATAAAATAATAAATTTTAAATAAAAGTTATAGTATTAAAAAAATAAAAAAGAATGTGTAAGAAATTATAAAGGATTCAATTAAATTTTTCGTCATTATTTTTAGGGTAAATTACAAATACACTTCCTGAGATTTGCTTAAATTACAAATTATCCTTGTGGTTTTAGAAATTACATTATGCCTCTTAAGATTTTTAATTTCATAATAAATAGATCATTTTATTAATAAATCATCAAGTTAATTAACAGTTTTTAATAATGTTAAAATTTTGTTTCAATTAATATTTCAGATAATTTTATTATTGTATAGATGAACAGTTAAATTTTTTTATTTTTTCAATTAATTCTATTAAATAAAAAATTATGAAATGGAGGTATTTATAATTTTTCAAACTATAGAGAATAATTCGTATTTTAAACAAATTTCAGAGTGTATTTACAATTTACTCTTATTTTTAAATAGATTTTAGGGATGTGGGGACGTTGCTGCGCAGCCCGCGCAGCAGCGTTTGTTGTGCGGCAATTTGAGCCCATTTCGGGATCTATTTTGATAATTTGAACCGTTTACATTTGAGAATACGTCAAGTAGAATATGCCTGCAAAAAATCAAGTTAATCGGATATCGTTTACTCATTTATCCACTCACATTTGTATCTACGAAAATAAATACAAATGTATTTTAGCTTGGTTAAAATGAATACAAATGTGAGTGGATGAATAGGTAAACGATATCCGATTAACTTAATTTTTTGCAGGCATGTTCTACTTGACGTATTCTAAAATGTGAATGGTTCGAATTATCAAAATGGATTCCGAAATTAGCTCAAATTACCGCACAGCAGACGCTGCTGTGCGGGCTGCGCAGCAACATCCCCATATCCAGATTTTAGCGGTCTTTGGTAATCTAAACAAATTCAGAAAAAAAAAAAATATATATATATATATATATATATATATAAAATAAGCCAGCAACCTCACTATACCAAACTAAAGAGGTCATTTCAGCAAATAGCTTTGGACCACTCAAACTTTCACTATGCAAAAGTACCAACTTTGTATTTTAGCAATTTGTGGTCCATTTTTGTTATCATGTAAATGCTGCCATTAAAATTCTACAGTTCAATTCTAACATTAGCCCCCACCAAATTGTGGTTCATTTAATTATATGGTGTACATAGAGTTTCGCCCCATGACAATTTATGAATAATTAAAGGACCCTGCAGCTTTTGTTTTCTGTTTTCTTCTTTAGGGAGGGGCTCCAAGTTATCAAAAAGCTAAATAGGTTTTGTTGACCAAATAATTAAATTATTTTTTTTTATTTGCTAAATAGGTCTTTGGAGTTTGTTTAGAAAGTTTTTTTTAGGATCGAGAAGAGAAAATTTTTATTGATATGATCAAAGAAAAGTTTAGCTAAAAATAGTTTTGACAACATGAATAAATACCTTTAAATGAGCATCTGCATCATAGGTACGCACAAGCCTATCTCAACTAGGTTGTCACATGCAAAACAAGCAAAATAAATCCATCTCAGCCAAAAACCAAAAAAAGGAAGATGGCAAGACACCAACAAAGATAAAAACATGGCAATAACCTCAAAAACACTAAAATAAAAATACAAAATAAAAAGAGTTATTCTTAAAATATGAAAAATTAAAATTAAAAATAAAAATTGTGCAAATTAAAGTACATCAGGAGAAAGGGATGGGATTTTGCAGATAAAGTATGGTAGCCTTATTTGGTGCAGTTTAGTGTAATTATTTATAAATTTTTATTTTATTTTTTTATTTTTTTATTTTTTAAGTTAGGCATATATGGACAGTATGTGATGCAATTTCTATTAGTTTATAAAATTAAAATAAATTAAATAACTTGCTTTTTAAGTTAGGAATCTAAAAGTTAAGCAGTGAGTATTTTTAACTTCTGCCTGTTTATATCGATTTACGAAAAGTTAAAAGTTAGTAAAAAAAAAAAGAGAGAAAAATAATAAAAGTTTCAGCAGCCTAGTCTTTTTTGGGTCCCTACTGTGGATACACATTTTGCCCCATCTTCAAGCCAAGGGAACATAAATAATCATATTGAACAGTTGATCATGCATCTTCATTCATTCATTCCAATTCAATTTTTTATTTATTATCATTAGTCTTTTCACTTTGATCAACATTGCTTCCTCACCACAACAAGTGATTGAAAACAGGATTAAAAAATAAAGAAAAATAAAATAAAAATGGGCTCTCATTACAATTTGGTTCATGTTTAATTTGTAACTTAAAGAGTACAAGTACGAGGGAAATTTCTTTACTTTTAAATAATCAATAATTGATTCATCAAATTATGGAAATCTTGCAAGACAAACTAAATTGATGGTTGTTGTAACCAAAATTATTCTCAACCATGCCTTCATGAGTACATCACAATTATATATAATCCAAACTCACAGATCCGATTAATCATTTAATTAATTAATTAAAAATAAAATATTAGAAGTTTGGGGGGAAAAAAACTTAAGATTTGAGCCTTATAACAAAATAAATCCTGAATTTTTAATTTTATGAATTTAAGCACTAATTTTTTTATTTATTTTTAATCTAAACCATCCGCCTATTTCGATTAAATAAAATTGACGGAAAAATAATATTTTGATCATTAAACAATGTGGATAATGTTTTACCGACACAATTTCTTCTCCCACAATCCCCACTAGTGAGGTGACAAGCAAAATTTTAAAAATTGACCTACACTCTAATTAGTTATGGAACTTGCATTTTCAAAAGCTGACCCACGCTCCAATTGGTATAGAACTTGCATTATATCTTGCTACCTCATTTGTGGAGATTGTGGGGAAAAAACTGTGGATGTAGCACTACTGAAACAATGTAGATGGATAAAAATGTCTAAAATAC